AAGCCATTTCCGTACGATTACATACGATGTTTTGATTGAATTTTACAAAAAAAAGCTCAGAACTTTTTTGTACACCTAATAAAATAATTAAATTGAAATTAATTCATAATGAAATTATCTATTATATCATATTGAATAGCAAATCTTGCAAACCATTAGTATTGGACTATTAGGTCATTTAAAAAGTATCCGCGGTTTTTTGTTCAATTTTTGAATGAAAAAACCGCGGATACTTTTTAAATGACCCAATATAAAGAATAAAAATGCATAAAACTCGGAAAACCCCAAAAAACCTGAGTTTTTTTTAAAAAAACTCATCTAGGTCCGGGTTTTTTCAAACCCTTGCGAGTTTTTTTATAGTTGCAAATATTATATCGCTGTTGCTTATCAAATTAGCATCTTTCATTGTCTACATTTAACGAATCTGAAGCTATTTGTAAAATATTTTTTATGCCCATTTTGACGTCAGCACATAGCGATGAAATAGCATAGTTCTTTCAAAAATGGCTCACATAACGATTTTATAAACGTTTTTATAAACTGATGACATGTCAATACTTTGGATTGATTTTCACTATTATCATCCATTTGCAAGTAAGATTCTTAAATTGATGTGTGCTTGATCAAATATTCTAAAGAAATAGCGCATTGGCCACCTCATTGTTGCTGTACTGGTAGTGAAAGCATGGTTAAGTTGATCGAATCCGTGCCTCTTTTTGTTTTATTATAATATACGCAAATTGTACGCCATGATGTTCTATATTTCAGTAATTAATATAAGAATGTTCTACAAAATTAAAAAAAAAATTACGATGATTCTAAGGTATACCTATGATATATTAGGTGTTGGAATTAATTCGTAGCGTTTTTAATGAAAGAATGTTATTTATTTCACATGAGCATTAAAAAATACATTAATGAAAGTACTTCCCATCACTTGTAAAACGCTACGAATTAATTCCAACACCTAATATATAAGCAAAAATAGCCAAAAAAATGATACTTTTTTTACCGATGTGAACTTGGCGTCCAATTTTATCAAATAAAAATAAAAATTAACGTAGCGCTTTTGTACTTCGTTTATATCTGTTCGAGCACATTGTGTTCGAGCACATGTTTGTAACCGTTCGAGCATAAATTGGCATTAGAGTACATAATTAGCACATAAAAAGCATTTAATTCTGGCATAGGTGCTATTTTGATTTTTTGTGGGGGGGGGAGGTGCTAGCTTAACAGACATTTAAAAATCCACAATTTTTTCTATCAATAAGTGTAGATCTTACTTCTTCACATTTGTTCCGCAGTTGATAACATATATGACATTAAATCAAATTAAAAATTTTTTTTGACACATCCTACTATGTACGTAATCGTGTAATTAGCAGCATTGATATGCAGCAATGGTATATCATTAATTAAAATATGATTGTTATTTTTATCTTTATTTTCAATATTTAAACTTGATGTTTTGGGCGATGATGAAATATTTAGGATAAGAATATTATCTAATGAAACACACTTTCCTTGTATAGAGGGTTTTGTTATGATACAAAAGGCGTTTATGAAGCTATAATTGTCAATATATGAAAAGAATATTTCCAAATGATATTATGATAACTTATAAGTAAGTATATATTGTAAATATCCTTTCTACATATTCGTAAAACAAAAATTAGATTTTTCATATCTGTAATTAAATCCAGGAAACCTGTTTTTAAATTTCAATCACTAATTTGCCTTTGAGTTCAATTATAATAGATAACAAATATTTTATAGATGTATCTAAGAAAAAAAAATTTTTTTTGTTATCTTTAGACAATGGCTTCTTAAAGGGATGTTGGAGTGGCCAAATTGTCGATATTTTGCAGATCGATATAAATCTTCGAATTTATTGAACGAAATAAAAAATCCTTTTACTAGATTAAAGTAGACGCAAGAAGTGCTGCAATAGACTTTATAAAATTGGAAAAAAAGTTAAAAACTTACATTTTTTTCAACTTGTAGAACTGTTATCTGACGTAGATGTTTCTTTAATACAAAAGTTTTATAATTCGTCTGGACCAAACGATAGTGCAGCACTCAGCGCATTAATGCACAAATAATACTGAGTTTATGAAACTAACATTAAAAGCTTCAAAAGAAAGATTTATATCGATCTGCAAATGACGTGTATACAAACTCTGAGCGAAGACTCGAAATGGTAAACAAAGCAATAATTGTGTCTAGCAGTAAGTGTTCGATTTTCTAAGAGATGGCGTTGTAATAAGTTAGATAAGGACAGATGAATACGTTTGAGCGAGACGCAACGATATATTGGGTCATCTAAAAACTGCGGATACTTTTTAGATGACCCAATATAATAAGTATAAAAAATGAATGAAAGATATCACTATTATCGAATTTGAAATTAAAAAAAAATCTGTACTATCGACATTGATCAAGTTCAGCCGTCGATCTAGCATCCCCTTAAAAGTGCTGTAAAAAAATTTCTGGAATTAAGACAATCAAAAGTATTGTTTATTATTCTATAAATATATTCTATAAAATTATTCTATAAAACTGTGACAATACAATCTGGATGACCATCATCATGTAATACCTCTAAGGCTGTGGCACAATTATCGCTTAAAGTTTATACGCTAATTTTACGTTTATTTTATTTTTCTCCCCTTGTATGTGTTTAGAAGTTAACTTGTTAGCTAAATGAAAGCAACCATTGTTTTGAAGATGAACAAATTTTACTATAAATTCTCATTTAATTGTATTAGGTGTTGGAATTAATTCGTAGCGTTTTTTAATGAAAGAATGTTATTTATTTCACATGAGCATTAAAAAATACATTAATGAAAGTACTTCCCATCACTTGTAAAACGCTACGAATTAATTCCAACACCTAATATTATCACCAGAACATAATATTTCTTTAGAAACCGAGGTATTTCTAACTAATTTAACCATATGACACATTCAGAATAATTGGAATCTTATAATCATAAGTTGAATGTAAAATGCTATTAAAATTATCATTGCCATTTAAATATTTAAACATGTTAATATTTGATGCAAATCCGTCAAAAGAGAATTGTCTTTGTAATTTCACCCAATTCTTCTTTAATAAGACCGTTGACGAAGAAGTATGCAATTGGCAATTTCCACCTTTCATTTACACCGTTTAATAAATATACTAATGCTTAGCTACAGGTAAACGTTTATCCTCATGAGGCAATTCATTTTCCACATATCCTACTAATTTTTTTATATGATTTTTTGTATGATTCCAATTTGTTCAGTATATATTAGGTGTAGTAAAAAGAAATCCATTATTTTTCCAATAGATGGCTTTAGTAATCTGTATCACGCGTAGACGAGATCTAATATTTGTCTTTTAATGTTCCGTAGTTCAGTGCAAATAAAATAATAATAATAACTATAATTTACACTGTCTTTTCGTATAGTTTATTGTTCACTGTACAGTAAATTTTCGTCTGGGACTCGCAGTTTGTAAATGTCATAATGTTAACACAATCTATAGTTTGCTAACAATAACGCACTTTGAAATGTTTGTATAATAACGACGCATTTATAACATTCGTATATTTACGATGTACTGTATACTCTTTGGTTTGTACTGATATCCTTCGACGACGCCTAAGGCTGATGTCCTGAGTCGAAATACGGAGAACGCTTTGAGGCTGTTACCCTGAATCACGGATGCAGACGCATGACACGCTTAGAGGCAGATGCCTTGATTCACGTTCGGTCCGGACACACGCGAGAACGCCTGACGACGATGCCTTAACTCGCAATCGTTTATTCGATGTGTGTTCTCTTAGGCTCCGTGATCGACTGACTATCTACCAGTGTTGTTAGACGGGCCGGATTTCAGACACATTCGCGTCCAATGTAGCTTCAGTAATGTATCGGTCTAACTAGTAAAAATCGGTCTAAATAGGAGATCATTAGTCGTTTAGGATTGAAAATATTGAAAATTTTAATATATTTTACATACGTATACATGTATATATTCATATATATATAAAATATATTTCTAATCTTTTTTCAGTAGTTTGAATCGCAATAGATTCCTCAATTTGTATATTGGAAGAAAACGCATCAGTTTCTTTGCTGCAAAAACGACTTGCTGGTTTTCCTTTTACAATATTTTTTGTAGTTCATTTAAATTAATTTTACTAGCTTTATTGGATTTAATTGAATTATTAAAATCTTGAATAATTAACTTGTTTACTTGAGATTCTTTAATTTCTTCAATTTTGTTAGGATTTAAATTAGTTCAAGAAAATTAGATAATAAATCGACAAATAAACAAAAAAATTTCGAAGTTCGTGAAAACTTCACTAACTTGTAGAGAAATACACTATTGAAGATTCCAAAGAGTCCCGAAATGGTGTGCTTGACCCTCCAGCTCAAGTAGAAACCTCCCTCCACGCTTCCCACCGGGATAACAGAATGCATCTAACAACATCAACTTCGGGCCAATTTTGCTGTAAACATTACACGTGTAAAGACCTAAACACAATGCGAGGCAATAACAATAGTATAGCGATAGGAATAATGTAGAAATAAGAAATATATAAATTATCGCCTCTCCATCGTTGCACAATGTGGCGAAAGAAATAACGGCCAACCAATCAGATCGCGTACATATAGTATGCTCTTCTGCTTTAGTAGATGTAACCTAAAACCGTTAAGTCACATTAAATCATTACAGAACAAAAATTGCCTTCAATGAGGTATTTTTTAAGCAGATTTTCATCAGAAAATTTTATAATGGTAAATATATTTTATAATGTTTGAATTAAAAATATATTACATAGAAAGTATTTTTGAAACATTCATATATATACGTACGAGGGCGGTCCGATAAGTACTTAGCCTACAAAAGAAAAACGAAAATTTTGGAAAAGTGGCGATTTATTTCTCAACAAACATAGTCTCCTTTTAGCAATACACTTGACCCAGCGATGCTCCAACTTCTTTAACTCGTCTAAAAAGTACGTTTTCTCGAGGTCTGCAAAGTAGGCCTCCGTGGCAGCGATGACCTCCTCGTTCGACTGAAATTTCTGCCCGGCGAGTGACTTTTTCAAGTTTGGAAACAAAAAGAAGTCGCACGCCAAATCTGGAGAATACGGTGGATGGGGCAGCAGCTCGTAGCCCAATTCGACCAATTTGTCGAATCACCGACCGATATTGCTCTTTTTCCATTTTTCTAAAATCCGCGGACACGCCCGCTTCCACACGCGGTCAAAACAAAACTACGAGTCCGATTCGGCTGAAATTTTGACAGTAGCCGTCTACGAGAATGTACTACACGTTAGTAAATTTCTCTTGCGATAGTGGCTCCATCGGGCGTTGAGTACTTATCGGACCGCCCTCGTACATACAAAACATACAATTTTCTATTTATTATATTTTCATGCAAATATTTAGGTAAGATGGAAGATGAATTGATATTTATCATTGCAATGCAAATATTGTGCTAGCATTATATATTGCATGGAAAGTGGAAAAAACAAGAGAAATCGACGATGTGGTGTGTACGCCCTATAAATCAGAGGCATTCATAGTATAATGACTTTTCCACTCTGTTTTTGAAATTAAAAGAAGACCCAAATCTCTTTTTTCGTATACAAGAATGGATGTGCCTACATTTTATGAATTTCTTCGACTGGTAGGACCACATTTGAGAAAAAACAGTATAAGACCATCAATATGTCCAGAACAGCGTTTTGCTATAACATTGAGGTATATTTTCATTTCAATTATTATAATTATATTTGATTTATTAATTGTATTTTATCTCACAATAAGGTAATAACTAGTATAATTATTAATAATTTGTTACATTAGATATTTGGCAACCGGAGACCAAATACTATCCATGGCTTTAGTTTACAGAGTCGGAGATCTACTGCTCATATGATTGTGAAAGAAACATGCTCCGTTATAGCAAAAGTTTTAATGCTGATCTATTTGAAACCTCCGACAGAAGTCGAATGGAAAGAGATCTGTACAGATTTTTTAAATTTGTGGAATTTACCAAATTGTGTTGAAGCAATAGATGGCAAGCACATAATGATTCAGGCACTTCCAAACTCTGGATCTATGTACTTTAATTATAAGAAGACACTTAGTCTCGTATTGATGGCCGCTTGTAATGCCAGATATAGATTTATGCTTTTTGATGTAGATGCTTATGGCAGCGATAGCGAGGGGGGAATTCTATCAAGATCGACCTTTGGAAAAGCATTATATAAACATTGAACTTGAAAAAGGAACAGCTCATCTTCCAGGAAGGAATCAAGAAACATCTTGCTACATTTTGTTGCCTACGAAGCCTTTCAAACGTCTATCAACATAATGCGACCTTATCCAGGCAGATTTTTAAATGATCAAAAAAGAATTTTCAACTATCACTTATCACAGGCCAGAAGAACGATAGAAAATATCTTTGGAATTCTTTTAGCTAGATAGAGGATATTTCTAAGATGAATTTATGCTAGCCCATGTTGTTGGCAAATATGTACTAGCAGCAATGTGCTTGCACGATTTTCTAATAACAAAAAACGATCAGCAAGCATTAAAAATATTGTCAATTCACAGATAGAGAAAAAGATATTGAAAAAGGAAAAATAATCGAAGGAGAATGGCGATAACAATCGCAAAGTGATCATATAAGACACATCGGAAAATGCGGAGCACATCGAGCTACGAAAGATGCTTATATAATGCGAGATACTCTGTCTCTTCATGACACCTGCTGGCCAAGTTCCATGGCAGTTCGAATATATATCAGGGATTACATCGTGATATGACGAAAAATAAAATTGAAAATTTTAATTATTAATATAAAATACATAAACATATTCATTATTAATGATTATAAAATAAATTTTGACATTTATATTCTTTTCAAATGAGTTTTAGGTCTGTTCTTCTTGAAAAGTTTTGAACTAGTGTAATAAGTTAAAGTGAGACATTATATTTGTTTTACTCTAACTTATTGCACCAGTTCCGAACTTGAGATATAAAAAAAACAGATTTTTTAAATGAAATATCAGTATTATTCTCTCTTGCTGTAACGATATAATCATTTTTTGTAATTAAATAAATGACCTTGACTGTTTTTAAAAAACATTTCTTATACTTAAAAAACATTTATTACACTTAAAAAACATTTATTATACTACATATAATATATGCATTTTAAAAAACATTTCTTGTACTTCAAAAAACATTATTATACTTTAAAAAAAAACATTTATTATACTATAAGCTTTAAATACAATGCGAAGGAATAGCGATAGCGATAGGAATAATGCGATTTCAATCTATCAGAAAGTGTATATTCCAGTGTATCTGATTTCTGATAGATTGAAATCGTGTTATTCCTATCGCTATCGTTATTCCTTCGCATTGTGTTTATGTTGTGTCACATTGTGAACATATACTTGTATTTTATATTATTAGTTATCAGAAATATATAATTTCCATAAATTTCCTTTTTAATATACTTTTCTTTGGTTCCGTTGTTTTTTTGAGTTCTGCAGTGATTAGATTTCCTATAAGAATATCAGGATCGTTCTTTTCCAACAAACCCTCATCCCTTCTAGAAAACACCTGAGTTACCATCATACTCAATGTAGTATTAAGTTTGCAAAAAGCAGTTTCTATCGGATTATTTTTTCGACTCTTTTCGATTCGCTTCTGACTTTTTACAAAACACGCAGTTGGAAGATCCGTTCTTTCTGATGTCTCTGAATCTGAGGATATTGTGATCGTTGTAATAGCAAAATCGATTGCTGTGACGATGCAACTGATTGTTGTAATGGTGAAATAGTGGGTCATTTTAACGCTGAAGTTAATTCCTATAATGATAGAGATAACTGTGCAGATGAAGCAGTCGATCGTTGCAATGGTGTAACAGAGGATCGTTCTAACGCTGAATATGATTGCTGTGATGATGAAGCTGGTGACTGCTGTAATAACAAAGTAGCTGTACTCTGAAAAATAAAAACACATACATTCAATCAAATAATACCAAAACATTTCAGAAAAAATAACTTTGTACCATGCAGTTCTTATCTTGATTTGTCTTCTCATTTATTATTTGATCAGTTTGATCATTGAATTGGATGTACTTACATTTGATAAAGTTCTGAAATACGATAAACACTTATGAAAATATATATATAATCACATACAAATCTGCAATAATTGTAACAAAATGAATATTAACTTTCTATGAGCCATATGCTTTTCTAGAAAGTTGAGACTTTCATAAAGGTACGATTTCTGTCTCATTTCCCAGCACTATTCCTGGTTTCCTGTTCCTGCATTCTTTCCTGTTCTGCCATTCTTTGCTGAAACGTTATCGAAGCTATGTCCATTGGGTTTGACAATCTAATACTTACATCATAAACATATATTTTTAATATAACACAAACATAAACGCTATGTTTAGCATTAAATTGTATGTTTAGAAGTTTATAGAAAAGAAATTGTTAAATAAGATAGTAAATAAATATATTAAAATAAGAATAAAGACCCAATTACAATAATTTTGAAATTAAAAAAACTAAGTCCTAATTAGCTTTAATATTATAGTATGTTGGATTCCTCTATTCCTATCGCTATCACTATTGCCTCACATTGTGTCTTGGGCTTAAGGTCGCATGTTTTATATTTTGTGTGTTCAGTTATTCTTAAAGTATTAAAAATGGAAAATAAGTTGTTATATATAATGGATCCCCAAAAAAATAGTGATAAAATAATTTGTACACTGTGAAAAAAATTACTGATATCAATAAAATATTTAATTGAATAGTACGGCGATAAAATAATTTTTTTCGTACAAATAATATTTAATTATAATAAAAATTTATTTGTTAATTTCAAATAAATATATTATACAATTGTGCAAAAATAATTTATTTACTTGAAAAAAATAATTTTTTGTAACAACTCAATATTATTTGAGTAAAAAAAATTAATTTAACTAAAAAAAAAAAATATTCAATCAAATATTTTATTGATACTAGTAATTTTTTTTCTCAGTGTATATGCTGTATTGCCAGTATAGAAACTTTTTAATGTCAATGTGAGAATATCTAAAAATAATTCTCAAAATGACTGAAAACAATACATATTTCATATGTGAAGAAACAATTGTGGACGACTAGACTAGACATTAACAGTTAGACTAGAAGCCATAGAAACTTTGAGAAATTGTAGTAAGGAAAGAGAAGATGGGAAACACGAATTACTAATAGGACGAAATATAGTTATTCATAGAAATTGCAGAAAGAATTATACAAGACTAAGTAACATCAAAGAAGCAAAAAAAAATGAAGACCAAGCTTCCTCCTCAAAAATGTCATCAGTTAAAAAGAAATTAAGATCAGCTGAATTTACATTTGATTTCAAAAATTTATGTTTCTTTTACGCGAAAGAGATAGATGATGATTTTGAGAAGAAACAAAAAAATTACATAGAAGAACTGAAATTCGTAAAGTCGAAAATTGGAATGTTCTACCTAATGTTCTTAAATATGCCGACGAAAGAAATGACAAGTGGGGTAAAGACGTTAAGGGTCGTGTAAGTAATGTAATGAATTTGGTTACTGCGAAGACCATCTACCATAAACCATGTTATAGAAAATTCTCAAGAAAAATCCAAGTAAAGAAACAAAGCACGTCTGAACATCCTCAATCAACTGATATATCATTTTCAATGCAAATAATATATAATTACTTAGACAATAACGAAGACCGTCAATTCTCATTACAAGAATTAATAGATTAAATCGAGAGATATGTTCTATATGAAAGTACCGTTAAACAAAAATTAAAAGAAAAATACAAGGACGAAATTATTAGGTGTATGACTTTGCTCATTCGGTTTTCGTTTAGATGGCTTTAGCGGTAAGTGGTGATCGAAATAAATAGATCATAGACGTCACACAATAAACTTGGGAATCTGTCAACATAATCCAAAAAGAAACATTAGTCGATTTGTGTCTGCATCATAAAGTTATTCTTGATTGAAAATGTCAGTTTACGAGCCAAATTCTTGTCATTTGCGGGAGGTTTTAATTTTCTGCTTCAATATGAAGAAATCTGTGGCTGAGGCTCATCGAATGCTTTCAAATATTTATGGTGAAGCCGCTATTAGTGAAAGAACGTGTCATAAGTGGTTTCAACACTTCAAGAACGGTGATTTTCACGTCGAAGACCAGCATAGCGGTGGAAGAGAGAAGGTTTTCGAAGATGCAGAATTGAAGGCATTACTTGATCAAGACTCTTGTCAAAATCAAAAAGAATTGGCACGATCATTAGGAGTGATTCAATCAGCCATTTCAAAACGCCATGCTCTGTATTTGGTAATCCCAAGCGCAGAAAATCATGGGGAGTTCCCGGTCATGCTTCCACGTCGACGGCCAAACCGAATATTCACGGCTCCAAGATCATGCTCTGTATTTGGTGGACCAGCTCGGCGTAGTATATTATGAGCTGTTAAAACCGACTGAAACAATCACAGGCGATCAGTATCGAACGCAATTGATACGTTTGAGCCGAGCATTGAAAGACAAACGGCCGCAATACAACGAGAGACACGATAAAGTGATTTTGCAGCATGACAATGCTCGACCCCATGTTGCGAAAGTGGTCAAGACATACTTGGAAACGTTGAAATGGGAAGTCCTACCCCACCCGCCGTATTCTCCAGACGTTGCTCCCTCTGACTATCACTTGTTTCGATCAATGGCACACGACCTGGCTGACCAGCACTTCCGGTTTTATGAAGAAGTCAAAAATTGAATCGATTCGTGAATCGCCTCAAAAGATGACCAGTTTTTTCGACGCGGGATTCGTATGCTGCCCGAAAGATGGGAAAAAGTAGTGGCTAGCGATGGACAATACTTTGAATCATAAATGTATAACCAGTTTTTTACAATAAAGCCTCGAATTTCGGAAAAAAACTGCATGAGCAAAGTCATACGCCTTATATTATTATTGTGAACCAAAAAAGAGTCTCCCGACAGTTTGCTTCAGAAATATTGGATACGCAATTTTAAGTGATAACTGGTACACTTCAAGAAAACTCGATGAGAAAGAAGAAAAATTGAGAATTATACGAAAAGTAACTGAAATAATAAAATGAGATATTGCAGACATGGTTTACGAAAATGCGTCGTACCCACAAAGTAATGAGTTTTTAAATAGTATCAAAGACGACATTCCGAAATCCTTAACGGTTTTTTTTTTGAAAAAAATAATGAAGAAACGAAAAATCAATTTGCAATCGCTTAAAAAGAAATATATCACAATTGGTCATTCCATAATATCCGAATTAAGTCTCGCTTTTTCAACTCTCCCTTGCAATTCAGTATTGCTTCATTTATCTATAAAAGGGTGGGTTCGAAAAATTTGGTACAAATATTATATAATATCCAAACTCGGTATTTGTTCCAATTATACCAACGTGCAAACTTTACATCGATAATGGCTCCACCAGAAGTCATCGAGCCTAGAGCATTTTGCCAATTTGTCTTCGACAACTGCGATTTCGTATAATTGATGGCTATAATACCTTTCATAACATGGCTGATATTAAATGTATTACTCCAGCCATCTCAATCACATACCGTTCAGATGTAATTGAACAAATGCAAGAAATTGAAAAAGTCTGTAATTGTCGAGAAAAAAGGAATTGCTAACATCGTACCATTTAAAAAAAAAGAAAGAAGCGGAACTGCAAAATCTCGTTTTCGAAAATTTAGACGATCTTTT